ATGGTAGGAAAGGGAATCGTCTTTGTCAGGCAAGAGTGGTTTCAGTATTGGTAATAGCAATCCGGACACTGATGCTTTAGAAAAGCAGTTTTACAAAGCATTCTGTAATTCCAGAGGAGAGCATTTTTGTTGATTGGCAGTCCAGTAAAATTTGAATAAGCCGTGACTTTTAAAACAAAGTTCTAGCTCTTTCCTGTCAATTTGGGCCACTGATAGCTCCATTAAAGATTATGTATCTCAATTCTTGATCTGCAACTGGAAAGTTTTTGGACCAGTGTTAGAAATGAGGAAATTATACAAGTGCACAAGTCATGTGGTATTAGAAGGCACTTCAGAGGGAAAATTAGTGATCAACAGTTGTTCAGCACCCCCAGTACTGGATAGTTTTAGATCTATTTTAATCTCCTTAATAAGTCCTATAGCTATGCAAGTGAGTGCATTTTGATAACTGCTGTGCCTAATTTGTAACAATTACTGTCAACCTTCAGTTAAGAGACTGTTCATTCCACACTGGCCCAGAAAAGAGTGAAATGTATGACTCGTGCGCATAATTTTATTCACATCATATTTCATACTGATTATGTATTGATGACATTGATTCATTTACTCTTTACAGCGCCACTTGCATGGATATTAAATCTTATTGACCACAGATGAATTTTAATTTCAGATTGGTGATAGATTTTTCCATCAGCTCTGATAGTATGTTTGACTTTTTCATCATTAACCCAGGCAATCACACAGCACTGAGTTATTGCATTGAAACAAAAAGTGCACACTTCACTTGGTAATTCTTTATGGATTTACAATAGGAACTTCATTAATGTCTGTTGTAAGGATCACAAAAAAACAACATTTATCTGCAAATAGGAATTTAGCAAGCTTCAGAAGTTTCGGAAAAAAATATTAAGCTGCTTTGTCTTCTGTAATACATTTTGTTTCAATGCTTCCTGTGGGGAAAATGACTAATATTTGTAAACTTTTAACGATTTAAAATCACACTACCATATTTTTAATGCTCATATTTATCGTTTTCCCTTACTCAAGTTTATGGGATAATTTTAAACGTATTTTTTATTTCTTTATAACTACATGTTAATTACATCACAATACATGTACTATATGTAATTTATGAACAAGGGGAAGCTACATAGAAGACCATTTTTAAAATAGAAGTCAAATATTTTATTGCAAATTAACCAGTCACCATTGATGAGGCATTTCAAGCTGCTGTACATGTAAACACATACAGATTTTTATGTAATGAAATGAATCTACAGGGTAGAGTTGAGAACAATGAATGGGTCGCATAAATATGTAGAGATCCCCATTTCAGTTTGGAGGCAGAGACATTTGTAGTTAGTTATACTTGGTAGCTCAAAGGAAAACGAGCTAGGAATAAAATGTTTGATCACTTTCCCACCCCTTCCAATATAAAAGCTTAGTTTCCCCCCAAATTCTCTTTTTAACATTTTTTGCTGGTTTTATACCATTTCTTTCCTGCCTTAGCAAAGTATTAGAAATGATTGTTACAGCTCACCAACGTGCATGGTGAGAATTGAAGGATGTGGAGACAAGATGGGAAATGCAGCCAAACTGTGGAGCACTGAGGATGCAGGCAGTGGCCGTGTTAGCTAGGGACCAAGTGCAGAGGACATGTAAGAAATATGAGCAGGGTCTCAGTACCATCTTTCTGAGTATAAGGCGATATAAATTTAGAGTTGTTAGGGAGGAAACAGAGCAACACTGAAAAAAAAAATCTGATTTTACGTGTTAACAAAATTGCATGGATTGTGCCTTTCATCTAAGTGTTCTGTTCTTTTTTTTATAACTTTTCCCGGGTGGTGGTGAGAGGAGAGGTAGGGTGTTCATTTGGAATACAAAATATACTAGGCAGTGAATAAGAACCTACCAGTGTATATTTTCTTAATGTTGGAAGCCAAAAGAGACAGGTGGCCTTCAAAAATTAATAGCTCTTAAAAGGCATAAGGAAATATAACTTAAGGATATGTTCTTGTCAGATGTTGGTGAGAGGCTGTGTTTTGGGGGAGGTGGAGGGGTGATGTTAATTAAGAACATTTCCCTGTTGGAATAAATGTCTCACATTTTTGCCCTTGGTGCTCAGCTCACCATGAGCACAGTCAATTCACAAGGTAGTTTTTGTAAATAAAGGTTTTGGGCAAGCTGAACGTGGTCCAGAGAGATATTAATGAGAGGGCAAGGGGGAAGAGGTAATGAAAACACTTCCTGGTGGAACATAAACTGCTTTCTGGATCTGGAGAATGCTTTAAAATCATTTTCCCCAAAGCCTTCAGTGTTTCTTTTCTCGGGGAGCTAAGTAGGGAGAAATGACAAGTAGCTCCATTTTATTTTCTTTCTCGTTCTCCATATTTTTGGTAGGGAAAATTGGACATTAATTTTGGCTGGTTTCCTTCTATTTGTAGAACTAATTATCTTTTTTGTGCATGATGCATAATAAATACACACAAGCATCCTCTGCCTTCAAGGGAATGAGTTGATTGTCTGTACATTTCTTCTTTAAAGGCAGCTAATTGTATGGAAAGTATAGACCCCATCATCTAGTCCCTTTAAACTTTTATTCCCCTGAAATTTGTTCCCATTGTCTGGGGTGTGCAGTTTAGTTCTTGTTCTGCATCGTTGGCTTTTGTATATTCTGAGAAAAACAATAACATTCAGCTTTTAAATCATACCATCTCTTGACTAAAGTCTCAGACCACTGGTGCCCAAGGATCCTACAACGTGGAAGCCTATATTCAGAGGAGGCTCGGCTCTCTTTAGGAGAACATTGCCTTCTAGAGAATAATGTACATACAATCAGAAGTTGTGGCTAATTTTTTTTTAAATAAATTTTTGCCTGCTCTGGAATTTTTTCTTCCTCTCAAGAGTGATGGTTGCACCTAGAATTCCCTGCTTTTCAGTAGCATAAGAGATCATCACACCGCTTTAGTTGGAGGGAAATGTAGCTCGTGTCCTAGTTTACATATCACTGCACAGTTCCCTTGCAGTCGCATAATTGGTGTAGAGTGTGTGTCCATCGTAGAGGGCATTTGATGCTCATTTATTAAATATGCTCGCTGGCTGCTGCCGCATCTTTGTTCTGGACAGACAAATTACCTTGCTCACACTGAGCTTCCACTCTGGGGAATTAAGCCTCCACCACTTTAATTAGCTTGGAAGTGGGGGGTTGCAGCTCCTAATAGACTTCAGGCTTTTAGTAAGTTAGGGAAAGGGTGAAACGAGAACTTCGAAGCTCAAAATGTCATTTAAAAACCATAAAAATCTAATATATATTATTTCATTTTGGTAATTGCAAACAGATTGTATTTGACGACTGTGTGGATTACCATTTCTAACTTAGACTTTAAAATTAGACTTGCATTGAACTGCATTCTTTAACTGATCATGAATCATTAACACATTACATTTGTTTGATTTATATATTCAGAATATTTTACGTAGTATCAAGTGACAACAGATAGGAAATACTAGATGTAAAGTATCTGTTTATATGTACGTGCGTGTGTGTGTACAGATAGACACACAAACACATGCACAAACATACTCATGCAGGTAACATACCTATATGTCAAGAAGGACATAGGTGAGTAGGTGACATGTGGGAATATCAGAATAGTCATAATAACTGCCAACACTTGCTTAGGTTTTATTAAGGGCCAGGCACTGTTGAAAATGCTCCACATATGTATTATGTAATCCTATGACAGCCATGTTATCCCCACTTTAAAGACAAGGAAACTGAGGCACAGACAGGTTGAGTAACTTGCCAAAGGTTATACAGTTGAACATATTACCCCAAAACTTCCTGGGGAGGGACATGGCTCTGAGTGTGCCTTCGAGATATGACTAGTAGGCAAGATGTTATAATTCATCCCTTTCAGAAAGAAACTTACTTTTTGCAGAGTTAAGCAATTCATTGTAGAACTTTACACCAGAAACTTTCCAAAAGTCCATTTATTGTCTCATTTTCTCTGCTAGTAAAACTGCAGAAAATGTTATGCTTTAGTTCTTCACTGTTGGAGTAAGTAGCGCAGAAAGCCTCCATCAAGTCACAGTTGGAAAGTAATCTAATAAAAGAAGATTAGTGAATGTAGAGAAGACAAAAGCAGCCATGTTTGAGTTTAATATCTCTCAAATTTAGCTAAGATGCCCGTTTTTATTTCTTGCAGGTCTGCTAAAAGGTCAGAGTAATGCAGAATGCGTGCCTTCATCTCAGATTTTGTTCATCACAGGTGGATCCCATGTGTCTTCAGTAGACAAGTCACCTTTGTAGCTAGCACCAGTGCCAGCTCCATGCCATTGCACCTTCTTTAGTCTTGATTGCCCTTCCTGCATTTATTGGTGTATTAAAATGACTGAATATGAACATTAAGGACTCCATGAACCTGGGCTAATGGGAGACTGTAGAGAAAATGAAAAAAGATCCACCAGAGGACATCTTGGGGGGGTGGGGGAGGGAGCTGGGGAGGAGGGAAATGACTAATGAAGCTAATTAAAAGAAGCATTCAAATCTGCTTTCTACCCTCATTAACAATTAGCAGGGCACTGGCCAGAGTTTGTACCCTGTGTTTTACCTTAACAACATTCTATTTGCTCTTTGTATATTTAAGTGTTGTAAGGAAATGTGTTTCAATCAAAACTGAACATGAGATAAAGGAAAGAGATGTGGCTTTTGTGATATTCTATCACAAACACTTTTATTGTATCTCTGTAAAATACAATGTATGTATGCATGTAAGTGTTTTCGTCCTAATGTTGCTACTCCCATGGCGAAGAAAAAGAACAAAAAATGGAAAAAAATTGGAAAAAAAAAACAGGCTCATAGCAGCTACTGTGTAGAAATTTCCCCCTACTTCTAATTTGCTGAATGAAGAAAAAAAAAATCTTTTATTTGTGATATTTTCAGAGACATTTGCTCTAGTATGGTGTATTTAAATAATAAAAACTTAAAAGAAAAAATATTCGATGGAGTTTGGGCTTACACACTGCTTTTTCTCTTCTGTACTTTGGGAAAAGGTAGGGTTGTTTTGTTTTTTTTTATTTGATACCAAGTTCACTTTAAATTTCAGGAGTTGTGAGAGGTGGTGTGTATATTTATTTAGCTCTGGGCCAATAAGGTATTCTTCAAATTACTTAATCATGCCGTTTTTGGCAGGGGTACAAAGCAATGTTTCTGACGGAGTCCTTCTTATAAGTTCAGAATATTCTGTTAACAGCACTTCATTACACTTCTCCAATATCACAGTGAATCTTTTGTGTTTATATATAAATATTTGTTTGATTCTTAAGCTATTTTCGCTTGCTCTTTTTTTTTTCTCAGTAGGAAAGCCTTGGGTATTGATGAAAAACATGTTAGAGAATGTGGCATAACTATCTTGTTCTCTTAGCCAGTTTATAGCTTTGGCGGAAACAGCATGCCAAACCATACCTGTACATATTCTGAAGTTCCATTCGTTCTTAGGGACCCCGTGCTCTTTACAGTTACGTTCAACGGGTGAAGCAGCCGTTTCCTGTGTGCTTTTAGACTCCTGTGGTCTGCTGTGTGCTTTTGTTTATTTTGTTTTGCTCTTACGCTCTATAGGCTCTGCCTTTCCAAATGTTTGGAGGAGGGTTTGGAATTCATTTAATAGAAGTCTTGAGATGTTCAGTTGCTAGTTCTAGGCGCTAGATTATCCCCCAACAACGGCTTCTGCAGTGCCCGCAGAGGTACCCTGAGGAGAGCGCGTGTAGGCCAAAGACTCCGTGGGTCCCTGGCCAGGGCTGGAAGGAGGAAAACCAAAGAGGCTGCACTGCCAGGCTTGCAATATGTGAGCAAATCTCACTACGACTTCTGCCTGTACAGGTTAATAAAACCAGGTGTTTTAATGCTACCTTTAATTTTCTTTCTAAAAATGGCAATTGTTTTATTTTCACTTGTTCCAGAAGAGCTCCCAAGGCCCTCTCTGGAGAATAGGACTAGGTTCGTTCTATAGAGAGATCGAGCTTTGGCACAGCTCGACCAGCAATCAGCTTCGCTTCCCGGTGAGGCCCGTGCTTACTGCCTGCTTTCGGGTCCCAGGCCAGGAGGAAGAGTCACTTGCTCAAACTGCACTCTTCTTGGAGGAGAATTTAAAGGCAGAGAGTAAAAGTGAATAGTTCATTAGAGCTTAAGACAAAAATAAAATGAATAAAATCACATAAATATCTCCTTGAGTTAGATCTTGGGGAATTTCTGGGAACTAGTTCTGGCTCTTACATTATTTTTCTTTTAAGATACTGTAAGGGAACTTGGACTCTTCAGGATAGAAAAGGGGAAATGTTAATAAGAATGCAAGCATCTGCTCTATTCTTTTTGGCATAAGCACTCGTCCCATATAGGGTAGAAATTCAAAGGAGATAGTTAATAACTTCAGTAAGTAATACAGTGTGGCATTTAGTGATGTGGAGGGCTAAGGTTATTAAAGACTTTAAATGAACTATTATACGGCTGGTTCCTCAAGCACTGCTGCGTATTTAATAACGAGCTTCTAAAAGCATTTCTTAAGTTGCAGACCTATAAGATTACAAATGTCACTCATGTTAGTATAATCCACATGCAAGTGATGAAGTCTTCTCTTTGATGTGCTAAATTGGAGAAGGACTAATGGAGCTATGAATATACAATAGGACATATTTAAGTAGTAGTCTTGCTTTAGGTAAAACACTTTCTTGAAACCAGAGGCATTTCAAACAATAAAACCCAGCTCTAATGGGGATGCTTTGTGGATAGAAAGCCACTAAAAACACTCAGGTTTATTCTGATGTGAGCAGTGATTATGTTCCTCCCCCAACCCCAACATTGCTTAGAGAGAAAAAAATCCACCAGCTTGTTCACCTTTCATTACTGCATTTGTGATGTTAGTGAGATGTACTCTGTTCTTTTGAAAGGCCTTATTTAATATCACCCATGTCACAGAGCAAGATGGCCCCCAGTCCCTACAAGCAAGGGCAATTAAAAATAAAAGCAAATGTAACTGAGCGCTGCTGAACTGAGTAAAGAAATGTTTATGATATGTATACATGTCCCAATTATGCAAACTGCCACTCTTGCTAATGTACAAAGATTCTCCTTTGAAAGGTTGGATGTTTTTTACCGGCGTTGTTACATTTACACACCCCAAAAGGCAGCAGGGCCTGAGAGAAGCCTTTCCAACCCAAACCATTTGCCACAAGAAACTCTTTTCCAGCTCTTCGTGATTTATTAGGAAGTAGTTTAACACAGACTGTAGTGTCATAAAATACAGACTGAGAAAACCCCAAAGTTTCTCATTTATGAATGAGAAAACACCACAAAGAAGCCGGTGAAATTGTCCTCCTTTTAATATTAACTATTTTGCCCTCATTAACACTGATATTTGAAACAACTAATCCATCTAAAATGAAACTTTTAAATGTCAATATAGGGAGATTCTAATGTGCACCATGTTTATGTAAAATATTTCTTAGAGCTAATAAATTATATAAGTGAATCTAAGAGCTATAGATGATGTGGCCTAAATAACTGTATTTAGGTCGAGAAGTGATTTTCCCAATGATTCCTTCACCGGGGAATTCCATCCCAGGTGCTTGCGCACCTCTGACTCAGTTTGAGAGGCCATTGGAAACAGACTATTTACAAGTTGATGTGACTTCTTGCATTGTTACTAACACTCACCTATTGTCAGTCCAGCCAAGTCACAGAAATGCTTATTGCAGTTAAAGAGCAATTTGTTTCCATGAAACTGCAATTAAAGTATTACTGAGCAGCCATTTTAGATTGGCAATGCTCTGAATGCATGTTAAACAGCCAGCACCTCCCACTTGCCGCGCCTGAGATCTGACTCGCAGCAAAGTGGAACACATTCACCCACGTTGGGTACCTAGTTAAGAGGCATTTGCAGCCCTCTGTTCCATCATGAACATGCTGAGAGCAATGGCAAGTCAGGGCTGATTTTTGGAAGGTGAACTTGCAACTTACCTCCAGTGACTACTATTTGCAGTTGCACGAGAAGTGAGAAGTACTTTGTGCTGACGGATATGTGCAGGTCTCCTAGAGGGAACGTTTTCGAGTTCAGATTGATTCTGCGGAGAATGGACTGCAACTCGGAGGCTTTGAGCCAATGGTGCTGCAGGTCCTGACATGTTACAGCTGTGTAAACAGGGCCATTCTGTCTCCTAAATCACAACTAATAAAGCATAGGATGAGAATCAATTGATTCTGTTATAAGTTCTTTGGATGACACTGGAAAGTTGTTTAATGACTCTCTGTTGGAGTGGTCAAGCCTGGGTTGAGCCACTGAAATACCCATTTTAATTGTCTCTCTCCCCTCAGAAACAGGGCAGGGCACCCTTTCCTGCAGGTTAGCCTCGTGGCCACCAGATCAAAACCTTCTGGGGAAAGAAAGGATCTGAACTGAATTCTTCCTGCACATCTGAAGTTCAGGATTTGTTCAGTGAGAAAGGTGAAGTGCAAAGGTTTTATTGAAAATGCAAAACATTGATGTAAGATCCTGAGAGAGGAAAGGATTTCAGAGGTGGTGTTTCAAAATGCAATTAGCACTGAATTCTAACCAGCTTGGAAACCATCATTAGCTCAGAGAACAGGAGGCATTTCACCTTCCTTCTGCCTAGAAATTCCCCCTACCTGGATCAAAAGGTTTACATCCTCGACTTCCTCAGAAACCATCTTCATGAACAGTGCAATTCTTTGTAGGTTTTCTGCTGGGTTGTTTTAGCTGTAATTTTTTAAAAGAGGAAAACGTTAAAGAGTTTCTTCCTAAATTAATATTGCAATTTCTGTGAATTGAGTATTTTTGGGAACTGTAAAGAGAAAATCTGAGGACAAACTGAATTTACACGTGAAGATTAATTCTGAAAACTGGAAAGGAAATTGCTTGTTTTGGCTGCTGTTGTATATCTTTTTATTGAAATAAGGTTTGGTGGAGGTGGGTGTGTCTTAAATTCTGCATATCTCTTTAAGGCCTTTGACTCAATTTCTATTATCAGTCATAGAACTGACACTTTCCATAAAAGCTTTACATCTTAGAATACAATGTTTAGTCTAATAACTTTATCTGGGAATTTTATAATGCTTTGTAAATGTTTTTACATGTGAACATTTACAATTAAGAAATTCTTACACTTGTTTTCTCACCGAGTCCTCACAGTAATCCTCTTAATTACTATCATTGCCTCAGTTTTACAGATGAGGTCACTAGAGTTCAGGGAGCTGACTTAGTAAGCAGGGCCAGGACTAGAGTGAGGTTATTGGGTACTCTGGGTGCAAAATGCAAGGGGATACCAAAAATTCAGTAATCAAGATAATGTTTTAAGGCAATATTTTAAAAAATAACAGAATCAATGCAAAAACATCCACGATGTACAAAATTTACAATTTAAATCAAGGCAGGATCTGTCTTACTTTCCTTTTGGCCCAGGTTCCAACGTGGCTGGGCACGGTTATGAAGGCCCTCAGTGCCAGAACTGCTATTTGAACCCTGGCATTTGGGGCATTTCCGTAGACTTGACTTATAAATTGTTAGGCTGCAACAATGATACACTTTATTCTATGAGCTGTAACTTGGTTTTTTCTTCCCTTAAAAAACTAATTATTGCACTTTATCTTTATCCAGCCTGGAATGCCAACTTCTTCAGACTGCCTGCCTATCTTAGCCTTGCTCTATAAGAAATTCCTTTTGACAATTCTCAACTACTTCATCACGAGTAATTAAATATAATTGATCATGACTCTGCCCACAAGTTGTTGCTGAGGAAAAAGAGCAAGACTTTAGTAATCATATTAGTTCAGAAAGCAAAATGGATAAATACATCCCATACAAAGTAGTAAATGACGTGTTTAAAATATCTGAATGACCTGTGGATTTGAGTCTGTAGATAATATTTGTGGTGAATTTGAATCTATAAAAGTAACACATACTTTTATAAGTATAAGCAAAGTAATATA